CTCTCTCTCTCTCTCTCCGCTCTCTTGGGGAAAAAACCTGGGTATACCTCCCCTTTGCCCTGAGGCTTTTGAGGGCCGGAGAGCTGCTGCTGGCGCCTCTCGGCCTGGGAAGGGCGCGGGTCTGGGCCTTTTTTGGGGAGCTCTTCAGCTACAAAGAGGTCTCCGCCGCTGGCTGCTGTGAAAGGAGCGTGCAGCGGCCCGTCCGAGCGCGGCCTTGGCCTTGCATCTTTTTGAGGGTGTGTCTGTGCCTGTGGGGGAAGGAGTACCAGAAGAGCAGCTCTCGGCTGCTCTCGCCGACGTGGTCTCGCAGCAACTTGACGGACGGTCGCTTTAAAAGCAGAGATCTTAGAAAACAAAAACCCCAAAAAATGCGCAGAGAGCCTTCGGCCTTCTTTTTGGAGGAGACCCGCTTTTCGGCGAGAGCTTCTGGAGCCTCTCCGAGGGCCCGGGCCTAAAAGCCGGAGAGGAGGCCCGGGCCCCAAGCGAGGCCGAGGCGCGGGGGGCCGAGGCCCAACCCGCCCCTTCGCGCAGGGAGAAGGCCAGGCCAGCATGGGGTGGTTAAACGAGGGGCGTCCAGGGGGGGTTTCCGAGAGGGGCATTATTATAGGCTTTTTTTTTCGCGGTTTTTAGGACGGTTTAGAGGGGTTGCCTTTCCTGTGCTGCTCCGATGTAGTGAGTGTGTGTTGTCTCAAGAGCCCTCAGCAAGTGACGTGTCGCGCCCCTCAACTTCGACCAGAGCTTTGCGGCTTTGCTTGGTTTTCCTGGAGCTGAGTGCAATGTAGCTTCATCGCTCTGTTGGGCAGTGCTTGGCTCATTGTTGCTCTCTGCTCCTCTGCTGGACAAAAGGACAAAATCTTCTCAAATTTTTCGGGTAGCCAGAAGCCGATTCCTAAACACGTTCCTTCTTCAAGGCTTCAGCCGGAAAGTAATCGGATCAGGCCATGGGCCCCGGTCAGGCTCGCACATGAAGCCCACATGAAGCCCCAGTTTTGCCAGGGTTTGAGTCGGGTGAGGAGGGAGAGCCTCATGAATCATGATCGCTCAGCCTGCAGGTGCTCAGGATCATCGCCGTGAATGCCCATGTGCCCCACTTGGTTCTCTGTCATTCTCCCAGCCTCGGTCCAATTGCTGCGCGCCTCCTCTCAGGGCTGGCCACAGGGAGATGAGAAGGCACAAACGCGCAAACCCCACTCCACGTGTACGTCAAAACGGGGCTCGGATCGTCAGGGCCTGGGTTTGTGGCCGTGGCAGGCGTGGCCCTGAGGCCTTTGGAGGACGGGGCCCAAGGGCGAGCCCGCTGCGTCGTCTTCGTTTTGGTCCCAGGCCTACATGAACCATGCGGCGCCTGCAGATGCCAATTGCTCCGCCGTCTTTGCAGGGGAGGCGGAAAATCGGCTTCTCCAAGCGCACACGATGAGTCACTTGTCTCCAGGTCCTCCTGATGCGTGCCATAAAAAGCATCAATGCAGAAGAGGCCGCGCATGGCCTCAGCCTCTGACATATGGAGGAGTTTGTGCGGGTCCTGCGCATTGCAGGAGTGCCTCCACTCGTACTGCCCGCCTTCAGCCAGCTTCACGGTGCGGCGGGCGATCTTGAGGCCTTGACAGCATCTGCTTCGCTGCGACTCAGACCACAAAGAACGTGAGGCAGTGCTGCGTGCCGCACGTCGATCAGGAGGTGTTGTCCCTCTCCCAGCACGAAGGGACATGCTGGCCCCGTTGCACTTGCAGCACTTGCATTTCCGAGTCACCGAGGTTCCAGGAAGAGGCTGCAGCCGGAGGTTTCTATGGTGAGCTACAGGGAAGCCTGCCGCAGCCTCAGGGAAGTTGCCGTTGCCTTCCGAGCGCCGGCCCCCTCTGTGTCAGGTTGCTGGCCCGCGACAAGATGAAGGCCAGTCGTCAGCGCCGCGGGATGCGGTGAACACACGGCTTGAAGGTGGCCGCCAGTGCAGTGCACGAAGACGACAACCAAAAGGCGCACACATTGTGGAAGGAGGCGCGCCCTTGCGACAGGTTGGAGCGCGCATCCGTGCTAAAAGATGCGCTGCTGGGCAGGTCTTGAGCCTTCGCGTGGACCATCGCAGGCAGCGCACGGCCTAACGGCAAACGCGGCTGTCATGTCTCAGTTCACACCCTGAATCGCCCGTATCCCAAGAGTGCCTCCGACAGGAACGTGCAAAATATGTGCCATGTCACTTCTACCATATTAAGCTAATTACCAGATCAATCTTTGTTGGGAATGACGGTATTGAAGTATTTGCGAAGTATTCGTAGATATTGAATAACCACATGTTAAATGCACAAACTGAATATTCCGTGGTTGAATGTTTTTGTCAAGCGAATGCTGAATGCTGTTGATTCATTTCGGGGGATGTTGGAAGTGATATCTATCAATGACAGTAGTAATCGTAATACAAACCGGAGGATCTTAGAAGTGATTCGTATATGACATAAGTATCAATTGCCACCCAGCAATATCACATGAACACCGGTTAAACACTGATAAAGTATTCCTTACACGCTACTAATACATCAACTGCTTCAGTACTGTCTTGCGGTTCGATATATTATTAAGCAAGTTTTTCTATCACCAGCCGGGTATACATATGTAGTTGGTCTTCCGTGATAACAAACTTTTGACATGTTCACCCCGTATTGAACAACTCGAAAGTGACCAATAAACATAACTAGCTGCAGCAGCATGCTGATCAGATTTGAGCCCGTGTTAATCCACGGCTTCCATGTTAAGCAGGCGCTGATATATGCAGGAAGCATGGGGATGATCAAACTATGCATAAAATGCATATACAGTACATATTGTGCATATGATTCATTTTTGGGAGAAAGGTTGGAAATAGAATGATGATAACTAGCTTAATGTTGAGCCAATATTAGGGTGGATATGTTTGGGATAATGACTACAAAATATGTATGCATGTATGTAGAACACATTCTTATATTTGCATATTCACATACGTATGAGACCATAGACTGATACCACCACATAAAGGACTCAGGACGCACCCCGCGAGGGTTGAGGTACCCCACCCCGCCCCCCCCAGAACGCAGTAGTTAGGAGCCTACATCTGGGATTCCAGGAATTCAAGTGGCACCGCTGGGATTCCGGGGAGGAGGGGATGGGGCGGGGGAATGGTATCGCTGGGTGTCTCGGTGCATATTGTTTGGTGGACTGGGACCGTACACGCACCGTCATCCCAGGGCTTTAGTGGTGTAGGGTTTCTGGATTCAGGCTTTCCGGAGTCTAGGTTTCCGGGATTTAGGGTTTGTAGTTTCAGGTTGACAGGTTTGGGGTGTTAGGGTTTCTGGGCTTAGGGGTTTAAGGTTTCTCGGTTCCGGGTTTCGGGGTTTAGGGTCTCGGGATTTCGGGTTTCTAGTTTTGGGGTTTATGGGATTATGGGATTAGGGTTTCTGGGTTCAGGGTTTTCGGGTTTAAGGGAGTTTCGAGTATCTGGGTTCAGGGTTTCTTGGTTCAGGGCTTGCTTCCAAGGTTTGGGAGTTTAGGGTGTTTGGGTTCGGGGTTTCCGGGTTTGGGGGTTTTGGGTTTCTACGTTTAGGGTTTCTGGGTTCAGGGCTTCTGGGTTTAAGGTTTTGGTTTTTTTTCACAACATGGCACAACCAGAGTATCATAGAATCATAGAGCACCCGAGCGTGGCAAACCCTCACAAAAACAGATACTGGCACCCCAGACCACACCAGCAAGCAATGTATTCTCGAGCGGGGATTTCCTAAACCAGATGGCCTACATTTTTCTAGGCATTTCCGACTGCAGTCCAATCTCAGTTTTGGGGCCAGCAATATCCAGGGTCTGCTATGATTTGGGGTCTGTGATGGAGGGTCGGATCTGGTTGGCTAAGCACCTTGAAGGGGATGTTCAATTGTCAGTGCTGCCGCCGTGGGCCAATGGTTTTCTGAATCAACAGGGCAATCGTCAGAGAGAATGCTCGTCGTCCAGGTGTTCGGAGTCGACTGGGTGCGCTGCACCAGCAATTGCAGAGTGCGCCGCTCTTGTGCTCTTCTAGGGGAAGGCACTTCACCCTGGAACTGTCTACCCGCGAGAGGTTTCTGCGGCTGCAACTGCGTGCCGCACGGTGCCTCGGTGTGCCTTGACTGGGATCCTCGCTGCATGGACTGCGCTGCAGTGCACTTTCCGAGGACATGCTTGCGGCTGCTGCATCACATGCTGAGCTTGCACGCGCTTTGCGGAGGGAGCAGCCCAAACATGCAGCTTTCCCGCAAAAGCCAGCACCGGGAGAAGCCGTCCCTCGATGTGTCGGCCATTTAACAGGTGGAAGTCTTGGCTCACTGGCTCGGGCACCTCCGCGCGGGCGGAGAGGACGAGGCGGCTCTGGAGCAGGCGCGGCGCGCCCGCGCCCCCCTCGTCGCCGTCCCCCCGCTCCCGGGGGCCCGGCTGGGCAGGTTCAGGCGCTCAGCCGCTTCTGGCTGGGAAGCTCCGCCGGCTGGGGCCTTCTGTGCCCCTAAGATTTGTTTTTACAAAAAGACATGTCACGACTGCGCGAGGCCTTGCGGAAGCCTCTGAGTGGATGGACTCCTGTGGCCTCGGGCCGCATCTCCTCTGAGCGCGCCGGCAGAGCCTGCAAAAAGCTCTTATCTACAGATGCGCCTTTTTTTCTTCTCATCTCTTGCTGCTCTGCTCGAGCTCTCGGGCTCTGTGGAGGCCAAGCAGGCGTATCGCCGGCGCGAGTCGCCGGAGCGTGCCCAGGCGGGGGACGGGGTGGTCGAAGACCCTTCGACCAGCGTCGGCTCACAGGATCCGAAGGGGCGCGCCAACCACACTGGTCAGATCTACTGCAGGAGAGTCTGTGAGGGTCGTCTGAGAAGTTCAAGTCCAAGTGCAAGACAAAGATTCGTTGGAGGAATTGCGGCAATGCAGTGGAGGCCGAGTCCCCCGCACCGTGTATCCGCTGTGCTGTCGATTCGTAACTGCTTTCGATGAGCTGGATGTTCCTCTTCCACCTCTGTTCAGGTCCCAACGAACATGGTGGCTCCTGCGCCATCTCTGTACCGAAGCAGCAAAGATGCAGACTGATGTAGAGAACGCAGAGTAGCAGTGCGATTTCCGGCGGCACTTCAAGGCCTGCTACGAGATCACCCTCCCCACAAGACCGCCACCGGCCCAGAAAAAGAGGTTTAAGGGCCACGAGCAATTACCTCCCGAGCTCCGATCTCAGGTGGGGGTGCGTATTATCGCACACAAAGCACCGAGTCGCTGAGCTCCCAGAAGCGGTCACAAAGCCGGAGCCCCAGGATGCTAGTCGCCTAAAAAGCAGAGCTGAAACACAGAGAAGCTCTGAACACGTTCTTCAGGTCCACAGTCACGGTCCCTGTCGCCCTCAGCACCACAGGAAGCTGGTAGTGGGTAGTAGTCATTGTATTCCAATAACAATAACAATAATAATAGTAGTAATAATCATATGAAAAATATTAATAACGACAATATTACTATTAAATATAATTATAAGTATATTTACAACTATAATGGAAATACAAAAATAATATTAATAACAATAATAATGCTTCTTCTTCTTGTTGTTGTTGGCTCCATCACCATGTAACGCGCAAAATCGACATGCCGATTCCATCGGTATTTACGGTGTTTGCCTTACTTCATGTGCGGAATATATCGGTGGCGTCGGCGTTCCCGGCGCCTGCGAATTCACGAATTCTGCAAGTGCCGAAACATTTCCTTTGCTTGCAGTACCGAAACCATCGGTACTTGCGGTTTTTGCTCTACATCCAATGCCCAAACCTTACTGATGTCCATGGTCGAATCCGTTCTGAGAACGGAGCATCCATGCCCAAAACCTAACGACGTCCATGGTCTCGTCCGTTCCGAGAACAAAGCATCCATGCCCAAAACCTGATGACGCCGATGATGATGTTGTTGCTGAGGGATCTCAGGAAGTTTTTGCAAAAAGTGCGCCTGAAGAAAGAAGCCTTCACTCCTAAAAGCCCCTTGCGTTTTAGCATGATGATAACGATGACGATGATGATGATGATGATCATGATGATGGTCGTGCTCATGTTGCTGACCTATGCTCGCTTCTTCGGTGTCTACTCCGCCCATGACCGTCATGCTTCTGTTCATGTTTGTGTCGTAGGAAGTGTCTTTTGTCCCACCCAGGCCGCACGAAACAACACCACGCTAAGCATAAACGCAAGCGAATTCCTACACAAATTACACAAATACGCAAATTTTGTCTGGCGGCAAGGGTTCCCGCGAAAACCGAAGCAAGGCTACGCAACGCAAATTCGCCAACTCTGCATGCACAAAGTGGGTTTTGTCCCACACAGGCCACTGAAAAGGCATATGGTAAACCATAAAAAACCGAACATGCCGGAACCTGACATGTCGTTCCACGTAACTCACTCGTGCCTGCGCGTATTGACACAGGGATGGAGCGTTGTTGTTGTTGTTGGCCTTATTGGCCTGTTGGCCTTGTTGTTGTTGTTGTTATTGTTGTTGTTCTTGGTGCTGTGTGCGCGAGAGTGGGTTGTGCTGGTGTTCGGCTAGTGCGATGTTGTTCCGTGGAGGCAGTAGACCTTCGAATCGAAAGTGTCCGGCCGGCAAATAACGGCACGGGCCTCAGAAAAGGTGGCGAGGTGCCAGCAAGCGCGCTGTTCGTGCCGCAGGGCAGATCGCTCTCTCCGTGGTGACCTGGGGCGAGCCTCGGGCTCCTTCCTGGAGGCTGCTTACAGTAAGGTCCTGTTGACTCTTCGCATAGGGACTCGTCCTTTGCAGGTCTCTTCCGGGAGCTGCACAGTCTCAGACGCCCCCGTCTCCGATGTTGCGTGTGGTGTCCTCTTTCTCTCTCTCTTGCTCTGCTCCTCGCGCTGAGGTTTCCTCATGGAGGTGCTCGCAGCAGGCCCACTTTATTCTCGGCCTTGGCACTGTTCCCTCCCCCTCCTCTCTCTCCCCCACTCTCTCGCTCTGTCTATCCATGTATTTGTCTCTCTCTCTCTCTCCCTCTATCTATCTATCTNNTCTCCCTCTCTCCCTCTCTCTCTCGCTCTTACTGACTTTCCTGAAGTCCCTCGTGTGTCTGTGTGTGCGTGTGCTCAGCAGGTCTCCCGAAAAAAGCGAGGCGCCAAGGCCGACGTTTGGGTGGAAGCCGCAGGGGCTGCGCAGCTTCGTGGCCTTTCCGCCGCCCCGGTCGTCAGGCGACGCGGAGAGCGTGGCAGCCTGCCTGAGACTCAGTACACTCTCAGAAAAAACCTGGGCAGAGCAGTGGGCATAAGAGTGGACTGGGTCTCAGGCCACCCCTGCAGGTACTGCCGGCTTAATTTACTTGCGACTTGTTAGAGCAACGTCTCTGAGAGGGCGGTTTTTTGGGCGCTTAGACCTCAGGACGTGGGCCCCGGCCAGCAGCGTGGAGTTCGGATGATGGGTCGGGGGCTCCCGTCGTCGTTGCTGCCAAGCGACGCTCGCTCTCTCCTGGCCGCGTCGGAGGCTCCTCCAGCGCCACGGAGCTGCGGAGAGACCCGGTGCGGGATGAGGCTCAGAGAACGGGGAGAGACCGAGAGCGAGAGTGGGAGAAAAAGGGGTACCGGCCGCTGGAGGCTCAGAATGGGCTTGGGCCGGGCCGGCTCCGTGGCGCGATGTTCGCAGGGAGCCCGAAGGAAGAAACGCAGAAAAGATGCTTCAAAAAGCAGCAGCTCCTCTCTCTTGGCCTTCTAGGTGAACTCCTACCGGCCTTTTGCTGCGGACCTCACCAAGGAGGCCCTCCCGTCTTCTCTCTCCCGTCTCTCTTTCCGCCGATTTCCAGAGATGCAGCGCTGGTTGGCTCAGGAGCCTCGGATGATGTGGCCCGGGCCCCCAAATTTTCCCCGTTTCCCAAAAAGGCTTTGATGGCTCAAAGCCCCGCCTTCCGAGGCGACCACAGAAGTCTTTTCCTCTGAAAGATGCTCCAGGCCTCTCTCTCCCACACTGAGAGAGAGGCCGTCCTGCGCTGCGTTTCGACTTTTGGGCTCAAAGCAGCGGAGTTTTTCCATTCGCGGCGGGCCGTGGCGGCGCCGAGGCGGCGCCGAGGCGACGCCGAGTGAAGGTGCGGCCAGGCTCAAGAAGCGCCTCTCTGCTCGCATCAACCCGCTGCACTCTGCGGCCGTCGGCACTCAAGCGTTCCAGCTTTGCCCACCGCCTGCCGCCCGATCCGGGTCTGAGCATCCAGGCTCTGTTCTCAGTGATTCTGCCCAGGCAGCTGTCGCAAGCATAAAGTATTTCGAAAAAGCAGGCTGCAGAATGGTCCGTGGCCACGCAAAGCAGCAGGCAACAGATCTTTGCATGTGCTGTTGGTAGCCGATCCTGTTGTTCGTCTTTGCTCGGTCGTCGTAGCAGCTCCCTAGCTGTGGTTGCTCCAGAGGGGTGGGAGGAGGAGGAAGCGGAGGAGGAGGAAAATTTGTGGGAAATCTCCGTGTCAACAAAGATGCGCGATTCGCTCTAATAGGGGGGGGGGATGGGACGTTCCAAGAGTTTTCTCCTGCAGCTGGCCTTGAGGGATGCCTGGTGGCCTAGTCGGCCTCCAGGCCCTCCCAGCCGAGCTGCTATGCCTATGCACCCGCTTTTTGGAGCTTTGTAGCCGGCTGCGGGACGGGGGAGTTCTGCTAACGGCCAGGACAGTCAAGGAAGCCGGGCTCAGGCGATGGCTTTTGCGCAAGCAACAGCCAGCAGCCAACAAAAAAAAACATCACAGACCTGGAAGTCCCTCGCAAACTTTGCATGCATCTTCTTCCACTCCTCGGCACGCCCGTCCATGTTCACGTTCATGCCTCCGCTCACTCCGTCAAGGCAGCAAGCTTTGCCTCGAAGTCTTGAGTGGCAAGCATGAGGACCTGACCAGCCAAGTCTGACATCTGAACTTGTAACGTCGATTTGCGAACCATGCCTGCGGTTCGGTTCCTACTTGTACCTGGCCATGCTTCGACACATCGAAAGCGCGCAATCGCATGGTCGCAAAAATTGCACAGTGCGGCCGTGAAGAAGCTGCGGATCCACAATCGTGCTGCGAGCGCAGGCTCTGATGGGTTTCTGTTGCCGCCTCTCGTTCCGGGGCGATCTGGTCCATGATCCAGTTGGGAGCCGTGTAAAGAAGCGAAATTGCAGCATGGTGACGAAGAAGATCGACAGCGGCGATAGCAACGACCAGCCACTCTAAAGTGAAGGACGACGTCGACGGTGATGACCACGAGGAATGGCTCGCAACAAACACTCTCCCGGCGGCTCAAGAACAAACGGTCTTGCCGAAGCTGGCGCAGCACCAGGCCTGTTTTGTGTTTCCCGCATTACCAAGTAAGCGCCTTTTGGAAGAAACGTTGTCCTGCTGCAGACTTTTCTGACATCTGTTTTGCGCAACCAGGCTGGATTCAACTGTCAGCTCGACCAGCCAGTTTAACCAGTGCACACCCCATTTACAACATGAGCCCCCCTATGTTGCAAACAGATCAGGTCGAACGTGCAAGGACTCCAACAGCATCAGAACCGAGCACGAATGTTTGGTGCCAACACTCTCCAGGGAATCTGCACCGCTAGACCTAAACATCAACATGCAATCTGTGTCTATGC